ACATTGATTAATTTTGACATTATAATAATATAATATTATAATATTACAATTTTAATCATTACAAGGGAACGACACGAAGTGTTTTTTTTTTTTTTCAATTGATTTGAATTTTTGCCAAAGGTTGGGCATCGAAAAAAATCGATATGTATTTTGCTGTTTGCTCAGACACTCAATAGTTTAAGAGATATTAAGTTATAAAACTGATCGGATACTCTTAAAATTTTAGATCGTCGATTCAAATCTTAGTAGTAACAACTTTTTAAAAAATTTTTTTTCCACTTTTTTAAATTTTACCTATATAAAAATATGTCCACGTCATTTTTAATCAGAAAAACACCAAGAATTAATTTTAAAGGACTTTTCATTCAAAAACAACTTATATATTAATTCTATTAATGTGTCACTTTCAAAATATTTATAAATTTTTCTAAAAAGATAAAAAAAATTGTCATTATTGACATTTGAACCGGCGATCTACCGACCTATAAGCCAAATTATTTGTTTTGTTTTTTGCATTATTTGTTTTTGGTTTCAGCATATTCATGGATTAATATCAAAATTTTTGTAGTAACATTGACTGATATTAGTTTAAGATTCAGCAAGACCATTTAAGACTTTGATTGCTATAGTTTGTGATAGTTTATTTTTTTGCAATTTCATGCAACGAAGAAAAGTTGGCTTTTATTCCTATACTCCACTGAAATCAAAGCTGTTCTCCTACTTCCTTCTCATGGAGCGTATTTTCGCTGACTTTAAACTAATGAAGACATTCATTTATTTTTGTTAGCTTTTAATTTAAAAACATTAATATGATTTACAATAGTGAATATACTAAGTACATACAAGAATACAACTGTATTATAGTAGTTACAGCTGCATCAGAGATTTGGCAACAAAAATATTACATTAAAATACATTTATTCACACTTAAAAATTGTATGAAGTAGATATGTCATGTATTTCGCTATTAATTGAACAATATCGAACTTTGAGTTTAAATTCACTGTATATAAAAATTGATGAAGTGGAAATAAAATTCCAGCTTTTCTTAGCTACATAAAATAGCATCTTGATTTAATTGATGCTTTCAGTTAAGATTATATAATTAAAACATCCTTAAGAAAAATAAGTGTATTAGATTTTTTTTTATAAAAAAGTGTACTCGCTTATTCTTGAGCCTTTAATAAAAAAAAAAATAATGTATATGTATCTCAAAAGATGAGAAGAGGCTTTATCCTCATTTTTTGTCCTTTAAATACATACAAAGTTTCATCAAAATAAGCCGAATGATTTTTGAAATTTTTGGAAAAAATAAAATTTTTTTTCAATTTTTTGACACGTATATCTTTGAAACTAAGCTGTTTCGGACATATAATTGTATCGAAGATTATATGAAACTTTCGTTTCGAATTTTTGTAAAGAATCACTTCTTAAAATCTTTTAGCATATCTACTTAGGACACACTCTGCATATCTAAAAATTATTAAGTGATTTTTGATATACAGACTGAATGAAAAGTCCTAGACCGGCGAAATATCTCGAAAAAATTGCATTTTTGAAAGAAATGTCGTACAAAAATTGTAGGATTTTAAATGATCTATTTGTTGATCTGTTCAGTCTGATACACTTGGCGTCGCTAAGATCACATCGTTTTTTTTAAGTGTATCCTATTTTTGATTCCAGAATCTAGCTGGTGCCAAGAGCTTTTCAAAACACTGTAATAAAATTATTTTTTATTAAATACTTTTTGACGAGTTATGAAATTTGAAAGTCACAGTACCTCCGGCATTAGCATTACGCAAGATGTCCGATTGACTAACTTCCCTTTGAATGTTGTTCAGGATAATATCCTATAATAATAATAGTCAAAATCAAGGCCATTAGAAGTTATAACTTTTATTTAGAGTTATCGTTATTTTTCATGTTAAAAAAATTGAATTTTTTAAAATTTTCATTAAATAAAATTTTTTTTTAGTGTTTTCTTTAGAGTTCTAAATAGTGCTACAAGAGTTCTAATAATTACTTTTAGTAATCGAGGCGCTAAAATCAAGATTGGACGAATTATAGTCCAATATATATATAGTTGTTTGTTTCCTGGAGCGAAATTTTCTAAGTATCCAAACGTGAAAAATTTTTATCGGATTTCCAAAAATTTGATAAGAATTCTCAGCAGTTCTACAGTTCTAACGATTATCTTTAATAATTGAAGCGTTGAAACCAAAATTAATAGTTATCGTTATTTTTCACGTCTTGAAAAATCGAATTAAAAATATTTTTATTAAAAAAAATTTTTTTTAGTGTTTTCTTTAGAGTTCTGAATAGCGCTATAAGAGTTCTATCAAATAGTATAGTGACTTTTTTCGCTCTGACTTGAAATAAGAAAGTTATCTAATTTTCATTTCGCGAAAACATAAAATTAGCACCCCAAACTTTCAAATCACGTTTTTTGCATTTAATCGTCAAAACTCTTCAAAATTTATCAGAAACTCTAGAACTCTTTGGGGGAGAACTCTATTAATAATCGAAATTTTGACAATGGAATGCCAGCTTCACAGAAGTTTATTATTGTATATATACAATTTTAAATATTTATGTATTCTTCACGCCAAATCGGACAGCCTTTGTCACAGCCTGACTCTTGTCGATTTTTTTACTGATTTTTTATTATATCCCTCAAATTAAAATACGTATTCAGTTATTTTTTAAGATGTTTATCTCTGTTTCCTAGAATTTTTTAATATTTTCAATTTATTTTAGCAAACATTAGTTGAACATAACTTCTGTTCAAATTATTGACAAACAAAAAATAACTACATCAATTGTGTTTAAATCAGAACTGAGATTTAGTTGCATTTCGGCCGATTTTCAGTTTGGTTCCTGCCCCCTTACTTCAACCCTCGCGCAGGCTGAATACCGATTGACCTGTTTTGTACTAGTTAGGAAAAAAATATGGAAAAAGCTTCAAGTTTTTATTTCTATTTGAAAAATTTGATTGAAATAAAATAAAGTTGATTTTTGTCAAGATCGACATTTTTAATTTTTATAAAAAAATGCTCCAATATTCTTAAAAATACAAACACTTCAAGTCACATTTGATTATTTCAAAATTTCCGTGTCATATTTTTTAATTTTTGAAAATATTAAATCTATTATTTAATGTTAGTAGATTTTTAATTTGCTGATGAGTTAAATAAATCATATTATTTCATAACGACACTAGAGAATATATTTTTGATTTCATAATTATTTAGGGAATAAAAATTTATAGAAATATTATCTGAATAAAAAAAAATAACGTCTTTTAGAATATGTGCAAAAATTTATTAATAAATATTGGATCATTTTTATTTTTTTCAGGTTTTTTTTCTTACCCTTATACATTTTTTTTATAATCCAAAGACAATTTTTTTATAAGAAACATATCATTTTTTTACGGATAGTATTTTTTAAGTTTCAGATACAGACTTTGCTCTTTCAAATCAAGTCGCAAGATATTCTTTTGCTAAGTTATATTCTTCTGTTAATGAGAACTTTATTATGATATTTGGCAAATTTATTGGATCTAATGCCCACTCGAGCAGTTCATGTAGAGTAGTTATCTGGCAATCAGATGGGCGTTGAAGACTTGCACGAGTCATTCTTTTTATCGTATCACCTATTCCATCACATGGATCTTTGCCATGCGTCGTAGTAAAAAATGCCATTCAGCCGGCATTCCAAAATTTTCTTCATGATAATAGATATTTGCAAAGTTCTTAAAATTTTTGAATAATTCAGAAACATCATCAGAAAAATAGTATATTTTAGACGCCCACTTGAAGTACTCCTTACAAATTGATAATTTTGAAAAATGCATCTAAAAAATGGCTATATTAAAAAATCAATAAAATAATCGAAAGGGTTAGTGGCGACGGCCGTCTGATTTGGCAACCTACATAAATTTACGCTTTATATTATTTATAATATTGTTGAAAAAAAAATTATTCCTGAAATTTTAACTTGATACATTTTTACGATGAGGAAGAAAGTAGTAATATTGTATATTTTTAACGATAAATTACGAACGACAAGGGAAGAAATAACTTTCTTCTTGTTTAGTTTCTATCGCAATGGATCTCTCGAGGCGTCATTTCGAATTCTACGAAGTGCCGGACTAAATCTTGTAACGTTGATCCAATATCTGCTGTTATCCTCGTTTGAGTGAATTCCGTAACTTCCGGCTTTCAATCCAATATTTTGTACTGTCCATTCGCCTTCGCCAAGATGTTTATGACTTATCTGCTTCAGAATCCAATAGATGTAACATCTTTAAGGATAAAGTCTTTCACAAATGACTTGTTATATTTTTCAGCAAGTATAACTTATTAATTGAATTATTCACGGAAATATTTTATTGTAATTTTAAAATTATAATAATTTTTATACGTAATTTTTTTATATGCGATTTTATATGCGTTTTTAATGTTTTGCGACGTATAAATATTTATTTAAAAATTTTAACAAATTTTAAATGAAATAGTTATATTTGTTAAATACAAGTTTATGGTTCTTTTTCTAAATGTATGATTTTAACATGTCACTTTATCGTCGAACAGAAATTACACTGACATTGAATAAAACAAATTTTATCGCATTTTTAATATATCTTTTGACACATAATCGCACACACGCAGAATTACTGCACAAATTTTATTCGAGTTCTAATTAATCATCAAACAGAAAAACCATGCTCGTATTCGTTTTTAATTAACGCATAGTGTCAGAATGAAAATTGAAGAATTCTGCCGTGATGATAAATTTTTCAATGATAAAAATTTTAAATAATTTACAAAAATACAAAAATAAAGAGGTACAAATAATAAAATACAATAAAATGGATAGAAAATAAAAGCGGCAAGTTGTTAAAATTGTAATAAGTTTTTTTTATTGTTTACATATTTCACTTGACATATTTTGACGTTTTTCGTATGTATGAAAATTTTCTTTTTTTTTTTGGATAGGTGGTGGTGACAGCAATAAAGGAAAGAGTAAGAAATGGCGGAAGATACTTCAGTTCCCACACATTTCCCAGTGCATCGGCCTAAAAGATAAATTGGGTGAGTCAGTAATAATTGAGGTCACAAAAACTTTTAAAATAAAAAAAGAAATTGTAATAAAAAGCTATTTTATCTAAATAATATTTGCGGTCATAATTTTCTTGGCAATGTAGAAGTGTATAAAATAGCCGCAGTAAAAAATTATTTAATAGATCTGTGCGATTATTGAATCTCGGGCCTGCACCATGTAAAGCGCATTATGCAGTTGAAAAAACGCTGCAAAAGGCGGAGAAACAATGTTGCGTGTTCCGTTAACCTACTCTGATAACGCTCTCCCCCAATTTGAAATAATGAAAACTTGCGAATAAATAAGACGTATTCTCGCGAATATGAGCTATATAAAATACGTAAGAAATTATTTTTTTCTACCATTAGAAATTGTTACTCACTGCAATAACATTAAGAAGATTTTGCTGAATTTATTGTTCTACTATTGAATTTATTTACATAATTATAAATTCGAAAGAGGATTATAAAAATCGCTAATTATTTAAATAAGATTTTTATATCGTTTAAACTTATTTTATTTTGTGATGTAATTTTTAATTGATATTATAATTAAAATGTACAGAATTAATTTTTAAAACATATCAATTATTAAAAATTTAATTGAATAAATCTTTAACTGAATAAATCTATCCGTTTAAGATATTTCCGTTTATTTTTCCAAGTAAGAAAAAGTAGACAAAAATCTTTTCAAGCAACAAGCAAGTAGCATTCTACGACTAAATTTTAACAGGATCAATTAATTAGATTTTACGGGTATAAATTAAATTTATTTAAAAAATTTATACTGGTGCGCATGATGTATAGTTCATTTCGGAAAAATAATCAACGTAATTCATGATGTCGGATAGACATCAGGTACAGTTATGTGGTGGACCAGCAGCCAATTGGGCGGCTGCTCTTTCGACAATTCTGCCAGGATAAAAAACCAGCCTATCACCGCTACAATCTCTTTCTGGACGCGATCGAGAAGTACGAGATTGAGCTGGACGAGAATCGCATCGATCTGGCGAAAGAACTGTTCGAGCAGTACCTGAAGCGGGAGGGTTCGGAGGTAGTCGACATTCTGAACGATTCCTTGATCTCTCAGTGCGAGGAACGACTCAGCACCGGCGGCAAGGAGCTCTTCACCGAGGTCGCGCAGACCGTGAAAAACTTCCTGGCTGGCGAGCCATTCTCGGCCTTCCTCAGCAGTTTCTACTTCTACAGGTGAAGTGCCAATGAATAAATTGTGTGGCAGATAGATAATATAAATTCGTAGAAAAGAATTTTTTTCGATGAGAATTTAATTCTGACTACGAGAAAATATTAAGAAAAGTATTAAGAAAGTATTAAGAAATAGAGAGACGTTTTTCCTACGTTTCTTCAGGTATCTCCAGTGGAAATGGCTGGAGGCGCAACCAGTGACATACAAGACCTTCCGGATGTATCGGGTATTGGGCAAGGGTGGTTTCGGTGAGGTCTGCGCTTGCCAGGTACGCGCCACCGGTAAGATGTACGCGTGCAAAAAATTGGAGAAGAAGCGCATCAAGAAGAGGAAAGGCGAGTCGATGGTACTAATCGAGAAGAACATCCTGCAGAAGATCAATTCCAAGTTTGTTGTCTCGCTCGCATATGCGTACGAGACGAAGGACGCTCTCTGCCTCGTGTTAACTATCATGAATGGCGGGGATCTCAAGTTCCATATTTATAATATGGGCGGTGAGCCAGGTTTTGACATAAATCGTGCCCGATTCTATGCAGCCGAGGTCGTGTGCGGTCTGGAGCATCTTCATCTTCAAGGTATCGTCTATAGGGACTGCAAGCCGGAGAACATACTGTTGGACGATCATGGTCATGTGAGAATATCCGATCTCGGTCTCGCGGTGGAAATTACGGAAGGCGACATGGTGCGCGGTAGGGTTGGCACGGTGGGTTATATGGCGCCTGAAGTGATCGACAATGAGAAGTACACATTTTCGCCAGATTGGTTCAGCTTTGGCTGCTTATTATACGAGATGATCGAGGGCCAAGCACCGTTCCGTGCTCGCAAGGAGAAGACGAAACGCGAGGAAATCGACAGACGTGTCAAGGAGGATCAAGAGAGGTATTCGCCCAAGTTCAGCGAGGATGCCAAAAGTCTATGCCAACAACTGTTAAAAAAGAGCCCGAAGAACAGGCTGGGTTGCAAGTGTGGTCGACACGGGGCGAAAGAGGTGAAACTCCATAGCTTCTTTCAGTGCCTGAATTGGAAGAGGGTCGAGGCTGGTATGTGGGAACCGCCGTTTGTGCCAGATGTAAGTAGGTGTTGTTTGATGATCGATCTAAATTCACATCGAGATTTCATATTTTCATTTTTATCCTCGTTCAATCTATTTGTTCGTCTATTTAAATTCCGTGAATGCGAGAGTTTAGATGAAATTTGCATATAAATTGTAACTGTATATACTTTAATATAACTTTAACACTAATTTCGATAATTATACTACTACTAAATCAATATAATATTTACAATTTTTAATTAGCATATATTGTCATTATAAAATGAAATGGTATTTTAAGAAATCGCATAAATTGCTAAAAATTTTAACGTTATAATATTATTTTTGTTTTATTATATTTTTGTGCTAGTAATAAATTGTCCTTTTTGTATAGAAGATTTAATGTATATGTAAAAACATTGAAGGTGGTAAGAATACGAAAATTATTAATCGTTGATACGTTTATCATTACAGCCTCGTGCGGTTTACGCTAAAGATGTTTTGGACATCGAGCAGTTCTCCACGGTGAAAGGTGTTAATTTGGACGCCACGGATGATACCTTCTACAGCAAGTTCAATACCGGCAGCGTGTCCATTCCATGGCAAAATGAGGTAAAATAATCGTATACGTTACATCTATATATTACAATTACCGATTGTGAGACATATTGCGCCTCGGGAAGGCCTTTGACCTTTCCTTATAAAAATAATATTGTTGCTACGTGGCACACAGTAGACGACCAGTTAATAAGATCTCCATTATAACATGAATGTAAATCGCATTCTTCGACCACCTACGCATTTCAAACGCTTATATTGATATTGATAGTATTTTAAAGGATCCACATCTATATAACCCAAGATTATATAAATTTAGATAAGATGTTTCAAAATAATTTTAACAATATTTTTAATAAATTTAATTTTCTTCTTTATTTAGATTTTAACTTTTATCAAAAAAAATTTTGAAAGATAATGATCTCCGTTTATTGAAGTTATTATTTTCTGATTTCGATCGTAAATTTCTGCCAAATGGATTATGCACTAAAATAAAAAGTGAAACAATATTTATCTACCAACGTTTTAGCAAACATAATTTTTAATCTTACAAAGATATTACATAAATGACATTTTCTCATCTCTTAAGTAGATATAGAGTCTAATCTATATCTTGTTCTAATTTTTTACGACAAATGCGTTGAAACTTAAGAAATGAAAAAATGTCATTTATGTAATATCTTTGTAAGATTACAAATAATGTTTGTGTTGTAAAAATCTCGAAATAAAATTCTAAAAAAGTAAAATTGAATTTAAAGATTAAATAGCAAGGAAATAATAAAATCTCGTTATCTAATTGCACTTCAGAGGATTTTGCTTCGTTTTGTTTTCTGAAAATATTACATGTGCATGCAAAACATCTGGAGAGCGGCACTTGGATCAAAAAATATAGAGCTCATGCAAAGTGTTTTCCTACGTCAGAGGCAACGCGAGATGCTCGTTATCACTAGCGTTATTCGAGTAGATGTATTTAAAGCTGCGATGCTGCATAAGACGCATTACGCACGAGCCACCTTTAGCTTCTGCCTATGTTAAATCACTTACTACGCACTTCGCGAAGTTGGAATTGTCAAATCATAACTAACGCGCTTCATTTCTTCCTCTTGCAGATGATAGAGACTGAGTGTTTTAAGGAACTGAATGTATTAGGTCCTAACAACACGCCCACTCCAGACTTATTGATAAACCATACACCGCCCAACAATGACGATAGAGGATGTTTTCCTTTTCGGAGAAAGGTAGTATTTTTCGAAATTTTGAGTTTCGTAAAATTATTTAAAATTTAATTTCGAAGAAAGCAACAGTAAAGATGCTCTAAAAACATTTGGAGAATCGAAAGAGATTTTGAATACTTTAGGACATTTAAAAAAATGTTTTAATTTAAAGAATAATCGAAGAAGATATTTAGATATTTTTTATTTTCAACTTGTGAAATATTCTTTATTTCGTTATTAAATTAATTTTATAATTACTGTATAGGAAAATATTATATAATAATAAAATTATATTGCAATTACAGAGAAAACAGAACGATCGCACAAGGGAGATCCCGTTGTCGGAGTGCCACTTGCTGGAATTGTCGCAGACGCAGAGCTCGGAAATGCCAGCCAGCTGATCTATGGTGAACAAGAATAACAGTCTGAATCGATTAATGTCGTCATCATTTCGACGTTGCCGCCATCCTGATGTTACTGACGGCGCGCGTTCGAGTGCCACTGGTGGCTACTGCGTTAAGAACAAGCCGATCTCATTCTCTCTCTCGGTAGCATCCGAAGCCACGGCAACTGTCCCTGAAAATGGCTGCATAGTTCGCATAATAAGAAGTCGCAATGACTGCGGGTCCGAAGCATCCTCTCAGGTTTATTGGGGTGAGATCAAAGATCTACTCCAGGATAAAACATGTATCCGCGCAATTTTACGCGCGCGCTTACAGCTACGCATATGCGGCAAACAAACGCGACACACGGAAGCCAGGCGCATTGTATGTTTCTGTCAAATTCGAATGACACGTTCGTTACCAAATATATTTTCCTCGAGCTCGAACGCGGGAATGCTCGACGTGCACTTTTGCACGTCCATCAACGTATATCGACGTGTTTTATCGAGTTTCGATGTGTCCAGATTCACGAGTCGGGCGAGAGAAAATTTAGGGTGATATGTAGATAATGATTGTGTCACTCACAGCGCGATTACATAGCATATGTAATATTCTGAATGCGGAAATTCGATTTTCAAAATGTATAGTCAGTGGTAACAGTAATTTCATTTTTCTCATTAACTGAAATGTCGTACAAAATCTTTAATTTTAAGTTTCGATCTTATTTTAAGTTGAAATGAACGAGTACATGTAGATGTACGAATGGATGTGCAATTATTTGCAATTATTTCTTCGACGTACTTATGAATCTTTTTTAAATTGATGAATACAAAAATTTAATTTATATTAATTTTCAAAGAGCATTTTCTCTTAGGATAGATGTTTATTTCGTATCATTTTATTCTTAATGATTGAGGATGTTACCATCCCATCGAAAGTATCGGAGAGAATCACTTTGACGCACGATTAAACGTGAGAAATCGTGAGTATGCTGCAATTTTATTTATTATTATCCCAAATTGCTCTCAATGCACTTTTAAGTACTTTCCAAAAAATTTCGAGACAATCGATATTCCTTCGGTCTATCTTTTGGTTGTCAACGATTCTGAGTACTGTTTCGTAAGATCGTATTTGTCTAAAGCGAATAAGCTATATGGCAAAGAACTTTGGTCGTAACCACCGTTCGCACTTCGATGATTTATTAACGTGCTCGATAGAGTCTAGAATGGAACTCGCGGGGGCCAAAATAAAGTAGAAACAGCTTGTAGACGAGCGATAACGAGCACGCACGTGGAATGGACGGGTCATAAAAGAGCACGTGAAGAGCACGGCGCTTATCCTCCCGCCCGCACGTCTGTTTCCTCGCTCACTCGTTCTCGCATATCGCAACATTAAGCTACCGGTAAACGGACACCCGATACTACCGCGAGACAAATAAACACTCGCGTGCACTCGCGCGTTTATAAACGTTAACCCGATATATCTGGAGGTTGTAATTACGGAGACATGTGCAACACATGATACAGCGAATTGACGGCGCCGAGAAGACGCTACATCTAAGAGTGCGACGAGCGAATTAGTAGTGAAATATATTGATTTAGCGTTGCTAATGGAGACATTAGATAAGTCTTATAAAATGACGAATGATAAACTCACGATAAAATGTTCTGGAATGTTTAATAACGCTGTCACCATATGGCAACAAATATTATTAACGGTAAAAAATAATTTTTATCTCAGACGCCCTTAACATGCTGTATAAATTGAGTTTAATCGCGAACGTGGATTAGTGGACGATTACTGCATCTTAAAGCTGGGCAAACATCCAGAAAATAAAGAATAAAGAATAACATATGAGAGTCGCATCTGTCGACAGATTGCAGTTTCCGGAAATCGCATTCGAGCGTTACATATTTTTGAAGTATTGTAATAGTTTCGTGTCAGTTGTGATACATTAATTCTATCACCGATTATCTTAACACGAAAAATTCCTATCTCACAATAGATTGATCCAATATTTGAACCGATCTGAATATGATGATTTGATTTTAATAATAAAATCAAAATTTCTGACAAATTATAGATTTAAAAAATCGGAAAAAAATCTATCATTAAATAAAATTAAGATAAAATTAATTATATAATTATTCTATAAGTCTACCCTGCCTGAAGGGGCAGAGTTTTAATATTTTTATTATTATAAAATATTTAAAATCTCAGTGATGTTTTCTTTATTTATGTATATCTTTATTGCGTATCGCGTTAAATCCTCGCACGTGGACTTTGAAAAACACTGTAAAACAAACTCTTGCGAATTGGATTAACGGGCACATTCGGATAGTTCACGAGCAATTTGACTATTCTCCAATTGCGAGTAGTGTGCCAACGATTTGAGTTCCTGTCAAAGAATTCTCTTCTGCCAAACAGTCATCGCGAGTCAGTCGAATATGTTATCTCCCTTCGAGGCATCTTATAAATCTGAATGTGAACGCCGATGCACTCGGAATTCTTAACCTCATTAAGAATCTCTTACAAAACTCGATCCCATCATATAAAATAATATTAAAAAATTGATTGACGTTAGTCATCAGTTTATATATTATAAAAATAATGAATAAGAAAATTGATTTTTACTCTAACGATCTTTGCCATAACTGCTGTATCAAGTGAACACATACGCAGTTAGTCTTGAAAGTTTTATTAGACAATATAGCTTCTCGTCGAGGAAGTACAAAGATGAATAGAAATTCAATTAAAATAAGTGTTTGAGGAAAATCTCATATATTTATAAACGATATCAAAAAGCATACAAATGATTTCTCATCTTCGTATGTTTTTTTTTTTGTTCATATGGACGGAACCGGTATAGAAAGAGAGATACAAATGGTAGAAACAGGTTCACATGCGCATACAGTTTTATGTGAAATATGAGTAAAGTAGAATTAATAAAACATACTCGAGATTTTTAAGATTGATTCTTCGAATTGATAAGCAAAAACTTAAATTAATTTTCGTGGATTAAATGAAAGATTCTATATTTATTATCACAATTATTATGCTAAATTAATGAATTGAATATAAATTGTAGAATTTAATTGTTACTATTAATTATGATATGATTAAATATGATCTTGTTATAACATTTTTTTTTTATAAGAATTGACGCATAAATTACGTCTAATAATCGCCATATGAACAATACTCCGAACAAATTTCTTTTCATAACTGTGTATAGCTCTGTAAATTATATTTTTTATTGTAATTATGATAAATTTAGCAAGATTTAATTTACAGGAATAGTTGAAGAATGGAGGTCAAATAAGTGTCAGAAAAGTTGATTTCTAAACATGTGTATATTTTTTATATATTAAATTTTTTATTAATATTAAAGTATTATACGTATTAAATATAAATAAAAAATATTAAATATTGACATATCATATATTTAAGAAAATATTAAGAAAAATAATGTTATTTTATTTGAGTTTCTATAGAGAATTTAACACACAAATTTAATAAGTGATACTTCCGTAAATTATTTGGATTTTAAATTTCTCTCCTTTATAACTCAAAATATTGTTTCTGACACTTGGCTGACATTTGACATTCATTTCTTAACATCCACGTAATAATGCATAGGAAAATATATGTTTAGCGAACGATGATTGACTGAATGACGTAAGTTAACAAGTAATTAAACTTCTTTGACGTCTGTATGGCCTCGAATCATCGGTATGTACATGCATCGTGTGCACATAATGTATGTGAGAAACACTAACCTATCTGCTGTTCAAAATTGATGTTGCGATAAAGTAAAAAAGGGGATAGTACGACTCAATAGTCTAGATCACTTTTTGTCGAATAAACCCCAAGATAATCACTATGTCGCACAAATCGCAATTCTCCCGATGCGAATGCGAAAGTATTATATTTGCCAAACAAAAAAAAAGCAAAAAAATCCTTACTTTTGTTAAAAAAAAAAAGAAATGTGTAAAGTAATCTTGGAGACCAATATATTTAATAATTTACGTGATCTACGTGTACAACAAATCGTTTAAATTATTTAATTATTACTTAAATTTGCACGAAAATGAATTCCTGCCCATTTGTTTTAATTAATTTATTTATCTTCGCGCGGAGATACTTGAATGGCATTAGATTGCTAATAAAATTAGCGAGGAACGTACAATTTATACAATTTTTTAACGTATTATCGATTTATAGTCTTCATTTTCTTTGCTGGCAACGCACGAGTTTGCTATTCAGTATAGAGAATCTGTCATATATCTTTTAACTGTGATTTCTCAAAGTGTCCTGTTTAATTTTGTTGTTTAGTATACCGAATATTTCAGAAATATTTTTAAGGCTTCTTATTTCTAATTACTTCTTATTATTTTACATTATTTCTCTTACTATAAGACATACTTATCATTTCACATTATTTATATAAAGACGTAAGAGACAAATCTGGCTCTAACGAGATCCGTCGCGAGATCTACTTGTAGATAATGATGTCCAACTACTATATATTCACAAGAAGAATACCAAACTATTTAATAATTTTTCTAAGGAGAAATAAGCGCGTAATACTCTCTTATTCCCATAGAAAATACATATATTTTTCTGTCTGTGTACGTAGCATAGATAGATAGTTATACATGTACGATAGATTGCTGAATATACTTTTGCAAATAGTATCTGTTTCTCTTGTACAATTCGTATTTAAATTATGGATCTATGTAAGCATTTTATTTATGAGATTACCTATCTAATTCATAGAGATTCACGCACGCAAATGTATATGTGGGAGGCGGAGGATAAATGTATATGAAACATAGTTATTTAATCTGATTCAAAAATTCGAAGCATATATGAATCATAAAGGATACCTCTGATATTATTCATATATAATATTTTCTGTGATTATATATAAAATCTCATCGAAATCATACTTCGGATCATTAAATAACTCCTGTTCCTGATTATTACATAATTATTCAAATATGAATTCCTCATCTAAGCCAGATCTAAGCGAATAATGGCTATTGATGATAAAGTGATCATTGACTAATAATTATGTAACGTTAAATTACCGACTTAAGTGATATGTCCTCCGCGTTAATATTCGCCATGTTGCGTTATAATCATCGTTCGATAGTCATTCCATCCTATATGACGCGTGTAACGCATCTTCATCTTACGGAGTGAGAGAAGAATCCGAAAAGGAAACTTAGATGATAGCTAAATATCTAAATAAGTATACCGCTTGTTCGTGTCTATTAGACGTGAACGAGGAAGAATTTTGTGAAGCGAGCTAGGAATACTCAGGGGCACGCTTCATTATCAAATCGAAGACGATTAACGTAAATATGCAGGAAGCGAATGCTGATCTTGCAGAAAGAGATGAATATTAATTCAATTCGGAAGAAGAACCATCGTCCGATTTTATGCATGTTATTTCAGTGGCGTGACAATTCTGAGTATCGCGCGGTCTCCAAATGTGCTAGTAATTTAGAACCGATTGATAATAGGTAGACGAAAAAAAATTACCGCTTATTATTGTTATTATATTTTATATATCTCGAGTACTTTTTTCTGTACAATGTCTGTCCCGCAAT